TCTCTCTCTCTCTCTCTCTCTCTCTCTCTCTCTCTCTCTCTCTCTCTCTCTCTCTTATTATGTTTCTCTGTTCGTTGAAATATTTGTTGACATACTTCGTGTAAAATTAATTATCTAATTATATGTTATAATTAGAAAGAGTGCAAGTTCGTCAAAAAGAGATTCTTTATCAGGAGAATCGTCTTCGTTAACAATCTTTATTAGCGAGAATTTTTTATTAACGAGAAGCTTTTTCCTTTCTGTTAAAGAAAGGAAGAAGGAAGATTTTTCCTTTCTGTTGAAGAAAGGAAGAAGCTTTCCCGTTAATGTAAAAGAGTCGATGAGCTTAGAAAGGAGCTCTCGATCGAGAAAGTCAGGATTCGCTGGGCAATAATAAGCGAGGTCGTGACCGACCTCGCTTACCTCGCATATATTCAACAAATGCATACCTATTAAATGTATACATCACGTGGCATCCTTTGCGGAGACGAAATCCACTCGCGATTAAATCCATCGATGATCCATTTAATCGCGCCAATGCCGGAGATAACTTGGGACTTAGCAGGCCAGTAGGATTCAAACGCAGCCACCACAGGACCACTAAGGCCCAAATCATCTCCGTCATTCTTCGCTCCGCGACATCCGTCACGCGAGTGTCGATGGCGTCTGAAAGAATAATCCAAAAGTGATTGTTTACTTTCTGCAACTTTATCACTCGCGAGATATCCGTCTCGTTACAAATGTGTTCGTACAGTTTTCATTAAATATATATAATATAAATTATATTATAAAATATAAATTATGTATATAAAAAAAACGAAATGTAAATCTCAAAAATATAATATCATTAAATAATTTAATTAAAAATTGGATCAATTATGTAAATTAGATAAATTGTACAATAATCTAAAATTTTTGGTGTAATTTTAAATATTTGGAGAAATACTTGGAGAAAAATTTCCCCTTTTCTCGACGAGATAGCATTTTGTCACACTTTTCGGCCAATTTGCAGGCATTTCGACTCGCTCTATCTGTCAGTGCGTCAAAAGTATTTAAGAACCATATCGGGGTCGCGGTTTCATTCATTACGCTAGATATACCACAAGTAGAGTGCACCTACTCATCCGCAGCGATTTTATACACGCCACGACGTAACGGGTGTGCCGGAAGTGTTTGTAAGAGAACAAGATAAAAGGTGACTGCCGGGGTGCACGCGAGATACTGGTGTTGCGATCGTTGTTCACGTAATACGTGACGAAGCATCCAATTCTATTTGACGCCGTTACTATTCACGGATGAATAATGTAACAGAAAGCTTTTAATAATCCCCGAAATAAGCGGTGTTATAATGCTATTGGCCGACTCGATCAATTATGCGATTATGCTAAAATGAATTGTTTGCGGAGTAGGAAAAGTTTATCACTTGCCTGAAAATATGAAAGATTATGCACAATTTAAGAATTAAAATGCGCAGGAGAAACTTCGATAGCTGAAACATAAACAACGCGAATAGTGCTGCGCGAATGAAAGAGTTTTCTGTGATCGAAGTATAATCAGTGGAGGATAAGTGGCAACAGCTTCTTCTCAATGAGTTTTACAACGTATTCAGTAGGAGAATTTCCTTTTTTTTTCTTTGTTCTTTAGCGATTTTTAAAAGATAAATTTTCTTGTTGGATATCAGATGCCTTCTAAAGTTCATTGAAGTAAACGTATGTGGGCAACTTTCCTTTCACTAAATATATTTTGACGAGATATTATTGTATTGTGTCACATAAAATCATGCATCAAAGAAGAAGTACACGTATACGCATTTTCATCTCCACTTAATCCGAATTGAATTTCAGAGAATTTTAAAGAGAGATAGAGAGAGAAAGAGCTTATAAAATATAGAATGCACAACTGCATCAACAACAAGCGCGCGCGCGCGCGCGCGCGACACTCCGTATACAATTAATTTCTGAAATTAATTGTAAACAAGTAAATGGGACAAGCAGATCGATGCGAACCGATGTGGAGCGGTGCATCTAGTCACGTCGGTCCGTATTCCTCGTGGATAATGTCGGCGAGCGGTTGTTGCGTGGGCGCGTAGCCCTTGCTGCAAAGGGTTGCGCTCATAACGCCGTGCGCGCGCCCGCGATTTGTGTAGGCCAGCAGCGCGTCGTTTGTCGTACGCTTCGCATTTACGGTTTGATTTATGCACACGACGGAAATATATTCGGATATCCTGAAAGGGAAGAGCAAAAGAGAAAGAAAGACAAAGAAGAAAAAACTCCGGAATCAATTCGGATTATGACAATTGTTATTGCGAAAACCGCTGTTGAAGTATAAGAATGCAACACGGCGTTACATCGACGCAAATTACGCGTTGATGAGGTTTTGTCGATCTTATCGATTCTCATGTTATCGCGATTCGGCGGCATAGCGGCAATGAGAAATTCGTTCATTTTGAAACCCCCGCGAGTCTCTTATGGATGTTACTTGATAACGTAAGCAACAAGCGTGGCGAGCAGACACCTACGTAACAGCACTGTGAGACATCCTCCCCGACATGGGTCGAACCGCGAACGAGATGACCGGATCTCGACGGTTGTCGCGCGTTCCACGACCTTTAACCCGTTCGTTCGATGTCGCGTCTACTCACACTCACGCTCTCTTCTTGGCTGCGCCGCCAATGCTGGCAATGGCACGTGCACGTGCGGTGCGATGCATCGATGTGCTCCCGCGTCTTGTACGCAGGTGCGAGCGGCGCATCACTACGTGCTCTCACACATTTCGTCGCCGTGCCTCGACGCTCGACGCATTACGTTCCGAACGAGTCCCGAGCCCCTCGAGTTCTCGCGACGCGTTCGCGAGAAAGCTACGCGGAAGCTAGTTAGGAAGGAAGGAAGGAAAGAATAAGAGAAAAGAAAAGAAGATTGATGTGTGGTGAAGAAAAAGAAGAGCACAGTAGAATGACAGACGGGACGATAACAACGAGCCAGTTTCTTCTGCGCGGAGAGAACGCACACCACTGAGGCAGCCCAGGACTTTTTCGACAGCGTGCGTCGCGCCACGCACGCGATATTTTTGCGCCACACGCATCGCGTGCGTGAGTGCGTGCGTGCGTGCGTGCGTGCGTGCGTGCGTGCGTGCGTGCGTGCGTGCTTGCGTGCGTGCTTACATACATACATACATACATACATACATACATACATACATACATACGTACGTACGTACATACGTACATATATACATACGTGTATATACGTGTATGTGTTTGCACACGCGTGCGTGTGAATGAGTACGTGAGTGAGTGAGTGAGTGAATGAGTGCGTGTGCTTCTGTGCATGCGTGCGTGCGTGCGTGCGTGCGTGCGTGCGTGCGTGCGTGCGTACTGTCCATCTCTTTTTTTTTGCGACCCCTCCGGCCGCTCGACCGCTACGGCGTTGGAGGGAGACAGCGGAAAATCGATCGAGCTGGACGACCCTTCTTCTTTTATGAGCCTCGATAGCAGAAAAGCGACGGAACCACACCCTTCGACCTATCGCGCAGCTTTGCCAATCGACCGACCAGTCAGCTTCATCTTCTCGAACCCTAAGGGTTGGGCCCTTCACCCTTTTGTGAGAACACGCTGTATGGGTTGGACAGGGGTTGAGAAGCGCAAGAGAGGAGGTGGCATGGTTACCGTGCGATTGTGAGAGGAAAGAGAAAAGGAGAGAGAAAGGCCAGGGGTAAGGACGAGCCTGAGATTAACCCTCTCCCGCCTAATCTTTCTCTTTAATCGAAAAAGCATCGTGTGTTTGCTTTGCTATTGGAAGAAAGGATTTCGAATTTCACACAGGGCGTAAGCGTAACGGAGAAGAATGTTGTTGGAGTTTAGATGCCCCGAGCACTGCATGAACATAGTCCACTGAGCTTAATAAAAAATATTTAGTAAGCCGAAACTTACTAGGCTTTCAAATTGTGCATGTCTACTAAATAATTGCATACTAAATAATTGTTGGTTATTCTGCCAACTTGTCATTTTGACACAGAGCTTGATATATCATATTATATTCCGATGCGATAAGCACGTTTTCAGAAAGACTAGTGAATTTTGACCTAGTAAATGTTAAGGGTTCATTGAAACTTAGCGTATGTACAATATTTCATTTCGTGTTTACCGCTAGCTTCAGCCAGAGTTTTTTTTCTCTTTTCCTTCTGTTTTTCTCCCTTAATTCACGAGCGCAATTTTTTTCGCGACATCTCGCGTATTCGGTGAAGTCGGGTTAAAGAAAACAATGGCCTTTTGCAGCGCGACGGTCGCCATCGTTAAGCGTCAAGCTGTTCGGTGTACCGTATATTATCTGGCATACCGTAGAGTTGCCGGAGCCGAGTATGGGCGAGTCAACGAATTATCATGGTAATCACAGAACAGTAGCCGCTGGTACCGAGAGGTCAGACCGATGCCACGAGATTGCGATGCGGGAAAATACTTGGAGGTGGA